AAGATGAGGGTCAGAATAGAAGCCTACTCTTTTTGGAGATAATCGCCATATATTTAGGGGTTGAAATGGACAAAAAAAAACTGCAAAATTGTCAGCAGGTTATAATTATCACCCGATCCTCACGCATATTTGAATGGGGGTTACCGGACATTGCAAAAGCCAAGCAGTTTTGAATGGCCATCCAAAAATATTTAATGTGTGAAATAGTTTGCCAACTCTTGTAGACAAAATACGAAAATGTCCATTCCAGTGACTTTTTGGAGAATTCACAAATACAGGAAAGACGCACTTCTGACTATTTCGTTAGCGCTGATTACGTTCAAGAATATAGTCAAATGTCTGTATCTCATATAGATGCGTTTCGGTCATAAACCAATAATAAATTTTAATATTTTGCCACTTCTGAGAGATTATAGGTCTTTGGGAAATATTGGTTCCAGATCTAGGAAGACCATTTACGTGCAACATCTACCAATAAATTGGAAATGAGCAAATTAATTTAAGTTGCTATTATTCGAAAATTAGGGAACGAAACCTAATGGTATTCTTTCATTATTTGTCACAATATATTGTGGAATTCTTTCGAGTATCTCGTCTATATAGACTGTATCGTTTATTATAGTGTTGTAGGGTATTCTTTTTTTGCCTCAGTTGAGCTATTGAAAACCACATGTTGATTGTCGAAGGCGGCATATCAAGTATCTTTTCTGTATTTGCTAGTAATAATTTTGTTCGGCGAATTACATTTTTCAATTTAAAACAATTCATCTTATAATGAATTTCAGTACATGAATATTTCTTCCTCAATATCAAGTTTCAGAAAATTTCTCAATAATTAAAACAGTTATACTTTCGATATATACGCAGAGCGACAACATTTAATAATTTTTTCCATAACTACATTAAAAATCCATAATCCATCCATAAGCATGTTGGGCTAAAAATGACACGTGTATCGATGTTTGAAAGTATACATCACAAAGTAACCATAGCACACTTTTGGGAATTTTCGGATGAAGATTTCTTAAAATCCGCTGACTTTTGAAATACAGTGCCTTCGAAATTATTGCAGAAAACAATGCAATGAGGATTTTTGAAATGGTAAACCTAAAGCGATTCCACAAAGGGGTATCTTAGGTCCTAACTTTCAAAATTTGATTCAAAACTTCCTTTACAGGGTGAGATAAAAAAAACTGCAACAAAGTCCAACGGCATAATTTTCCATTTTTTTATTAATTTTATTGAATGAAAGCAAAAATGTCGGAAATAGCATCAAATTTTGGAATATGTTTAGATTTGTTCGCATTGGTCAACTTTGGCACGACTTGTGGCCTTTAAACGGCCTATGAAACCGTCACTCGCTGCCCAAATGGTGCTCTGCGGTATATTGACCCATTCCCGATGAAGCGCTTGCTTGAGGTGATCGACACTTTGGTATTTTTTAGTGCCAAACTTGCTTTCCAAAATACTTTAGACACAATAGTCCAACGGATTGGTATCCGGAGATTTTCGTGGCCCATGTGCGCTGGAAATGAAACGAGGAACCTCATTTTGTAACCATTCTTGGGTGGCACGTGCTGAATCCTGTTGGAATGTCCAAGGTCTGTGGCCACAATGTTTGCGTGTCCAAGGCTTTAATACACCCTCCAGAATATTTTCGCGATAATATTCGGCATTTATTCTGATGCCACGGTCGATTAATACGAGCAGAGAGCGACCATATGGCGGCCCACACCATCACCATGACCGGCCCTTGAGTTCTGGTGGCCAAACGAAGGTGCACATGTTCAGCTAACCTCTTTGGCAAGAAAGCACGATCATTTTGTTTGTTTAAAAAACCGCTGGACAACGAATGTTTTCTCATCGGAGAGAGCCAAATTCGGCAGTTCACCACTTTTGGCCAAGCGAAGCCATTCTTTAGCTATTTTGAGTCTATTTTCTTTGCGGTGTAAGTTCTTGCACTTTTTGGAATTTCAATGGCCTTACCCCGAGCTCATTTCCAATATTTGGCGAATGGAATGTGGCGATATGTTCAGCTCTCGAGCCATTTTTCAGCCACTGCGACGCGGGTTTCGATCAAGTCGCTTCTTTACTTTTCGAACCATTTATGCTGATGTTGCTGTTTTCTTCCGTCCACTTCCTTGACGTCGGGCTACACTACCAGTATCACGGTACGAGACACAAGAGATTTATTCACTATTAAATGCTGGATTGCTCTAAAGATAACCACTTGTTGTTTTCCAGCCAAATATAAACAAATCACACTATTACGCTTGAATTCCATAACGAATAACTTTTTTTCTGGAAAATTCTCACCAAAATGTTTATGTACGCTTGTAAACATTATAATGAGCTGTCACTGGAATAATTTTAACAGCTGTCGGGCGAATGGCTTAGAAAGACAGGAATCTGAAGTTGGTTGCAGTTTTTTCATCTCCCCCTGTATAGTCTAATTTCGATAGAAATCGTTAAAATTTATTAAATTTTAACAAGTTAAAAAGCAGTAAGTTCGGCCGGGCCGAACTTTGAATACCCTCCACCATTTGGAACGACGTTGGAAATTTTCAAAAAATAAAATCCTTAAAAAATGCGGATAAACTTTTAAGAATACCGAATGTAGCCGTTATATTGGAATCTATACGATGTGGACCTACATAGGCAATTTGAAATAAACGGTGAATAATGTAGCTAAAATCGTCAAAATAGCGTATATTGGGAGGTACAGTTATATCGGAGCTGTGCGAAGTCCTGGAACAACATAGACAATTTTCTGCCATAGGCTGTAGCATCCATTACGAACTTGAAATACGACATCTCAAACAATTTCGGTTGGTTTTGTACCTAAACTCGTCAAAATACCAAATATAGAGAGGTACTGATATATGGGCCCTATACGAAGACCTGGACCAGCATAGACAATTTTCTGTCGCAGACTTTAGTTCTCATTACGAACTCTAAATACATACTTTGAAACAATTCCGGTGAATAAAGACGCCAATATAATCAAAATACCGAATTTTGGGAGGTACCGTTATATGAGGGCTATACGAAGACGTGGACCTGTGCAGACAATTTTCTGTCATAGGCTGTAGTATCTATTACGAACCTCAAATACCAAATTTGAAACAATTCCGGTGAATAATGTCGCTAAAATCATCAAAATACCAAATATGGGGAGGTACCGTTTTATGGGGGCTATACGAAGACGTGGACCTGCACCGCCAAATTTCTGCCTTATGCTGTAGTATTCAATACGAACTTCAAATACAAAATTTAAAATAATGGGGGCTATACGAAAACATGGACTACATGGCCCATTTACGAACTTAACCTGCCTACTGGAAAAATAAACACGTGTGCAAAATTTTAGCCTTCTATCTCATTTCGTTCGAAAGATAGCGTGATTACAACATACAGACGGACAGACAGACGGACATGGCTAAATCGACTTAGAATTTTACGCTGATCAAGAATATATATACTTTGTTGGGTCCGACATGAGTATTTCGAGGAGTTACAAACGGAATGGCAAAGTTAATATACCTCCATAGTATGGTGGAGGGTATAAAAAAGCTGATCCTATGAAAATCATCAGAAGGGACAAAAAAATAAAACCCTCTAAAACAATGTGGTGTCGGGTATAAATAATTATGAAAACTTTGCCTCTTAGCATAAAAATAAAATAAAATAGCATTTCCAGTTTTCTTTATTTTGTTTAAAAAAAAATTTTTGGAAAAATATTTACAATCTTGGGTTTTTTTTAAGTCAGAGATCAATTGTAGCTGATAAAGAAATGTGTAGACATAATATGAATATACAAACCGCATTTACATCCTTATCATATTCTGTAATCCACTTCATACACATGTGAGTCATCCATCAGAATAATTCAATATCTATACTAATTATGAAAATTGAATTTACGAAAAATACAAAATAAAACCAGTAAGGAAAGATCAAAAGTCGGGCGGGGCCGACTATATGATACCCTACACCACTATGCATATTTAGTAGAGCTCTCGTAAAAAGGTTTATACAGGGCATTTCAGAGCTCTATGAGATATTTGGTACAAAATCAAAATCTATCTAATTCTATCGTGCATTTTACGAACTATAGCTATCTCTGAACCGGGTTTCTCCAAAATTTACGTATTAGCTTCTAGACTGAATTCGGTCTTATGTACGAAAATTCAGGTGATTTGGGCTGATATTGACCATTTAGTGCACATTTAACCCGAAATCGGATGAAGATATATATGGGAGCTATATCCAAATCTGAACCGATTTCGATAAAATTTAAAACAGCTATTTCTGTGCTCCATCTAATACCTGGTACCAAATATCAGGGTTGTGGAGTGCATAGTAGGAATGTGAGGGACTTAAAGATCTAATCGGATGAAAGATATATATGGGAGCTATAGCTATATCTGAACCGATTTTCTCCAAATTTCATATACTTGCTTCTAGGCCGAACTCGGTTGGGTGTGCCAAAATTCAGGTAATTTGAACTGATAGTGAATATTTGGTGCACATTTAACCCGAAATCGGATGAAGATATATATGGGAGCTATATCTAAATTTGATCCGATTCTCACCAATTTCAATAGGGTTCGTCCTTGGGCCAAAAAAGTATTGTTTGGAAAATTTCATCTCAATCGGATAATAAATGCAACCTGCATTTTGTTCACAAGAATACATGGACAGACGGACGGACAGACGGACTGACATGCATAAATCGACTCAGAAAGTGATTCTATGAAGGTTCTCAAAAGTAGCTATGGGTCTATCTCGTTTCCTTCTCCATGTTACAAACAAATGCCTAAAGACATAATACCCTTACCACTATGTGGTGTAGGGTATAAACACAAATTCCAAGAAAAGCCATTTCAGGAAACAGTGTACTACGACGCACACAAAAGCAAAGCACAGACAAAACAAACAACGACCAACGGCCAAAACGCTCACATTATATTATCACAAATGCCTGCACTTTGTCAGTCAGTTTATTTCGAAACGTCGGAGATTGAACAAGGCGGCAAGTGTTTTTCGATTTTTTTTTTTCGAATAAAAAGAGGCAGTGAAAAAAAAACCAAAACAAAAAATATTTTCAAAACCAACCACCACAAGTGACAAGTGAAAAAGTATTGAATTGCTATCATGGAGCATCTTATAAAACAGTCGCTCATTATTGGCTCATTTGCTTTGGTCTTTTGTCTGGCATGCATGGCAATCGAATTGGGCGATTTGTATGTCAAACTAAGTTGGGAGAGTAAGTTGAAACGAAACGGAAAGAAAAGAGTGAAATGTTTTGTATTACGTTCAACAAAATGGTCCGGTGAAAAAATATGAAACTGGTTTTGGGCTGAGTTGTGTGTGAAAAGAAAAATAATTTATAAACAGAAAATAAAATACATTAAAGTTGAAAATATAGTAAACAATATTACTCAACGTTTGTTTTGATCTGAAATCGTGTTTTCGTATCCATATTGCAAATGAAATGAGTTTAAAAAAAAAGCAAAAAACGTAGCGTTTCGGATTGGGTCGAATATTGCATACCCTATACCTTGATGAAAATATTGGAACATTGAAAATATAGGAATGCTTATAAAATCTAGGAATTATAAGGAAAGACGAAAAATATTGCCTACCTCATTAAAGTATATTTAAAATTAAAAAAAAAAAACAAATTTGGCAAAACAATACCCCCAAAACGGAAGACTCCTACCAACCGAGGATCCTTTATTGTAAAGCGGTTTCCAATAAGAGTTATTGTTTTGGTATCAAATTAACAATCAATCTTCCTACATTACAAGTAACATACATATAGAAAGCAAACTACCACCTTTACCACATTTTTGGAAAATTTGGAGATAAGATTTATCCTTCATCGGCAATATAATTGAATATGTTGATCGAAAATGTTAACCCTCAAGAGAGTCACTATACAGGGTGAGAAATGTCAAACGCCATAATTTTACATAAGTTTTTCATTCCGTTTGTAGCACCTCGAAATATACATTTTAGACCCCACAAAGTATATATATTCTTAATCAGCATAAAATTCTATGTCGATTTTGCGATGTCCGTCCGTCTGTGCGGACGAATTGAAGTAGATTGATAAAATTTTGATCAAGTATATGCTATGTCTGCAGGACATTTGGTATTGAAAATGGGCCATGAAGGTCCACGTTTTGGTATAGCCCCCATATAACTGTACTTCCCGATATTCGGTATTTTGATGATTTTAGCGACATTTTCCACCGAATTTCTTCACCGGAATCGTTTCAAATTTGGAATTTGAAGTTCATAATGGATACTACAGCCTAAGACAGAAAATTGTCTGTGCAGGTCCAAGTCTTCGTATAGCCCACATATAACAGTACCTTCCGATATTCGGTATTTTGATTTTATCGACGTTTTGAGAATTGCCAAATTCGTTCCAATTGGTGGAGGGTATTAAAAGTTCGGCCTGGCCGAACTTACAGCTTTTTTAATTGTTTTTTTTTTTTATTTTATTGAATGAAAGCAATAAATGTCGGTAATAGCATCAAATTTTATAATAAGTTTAGATCTGCTCGAATTAGTCACCTTTGGCACGAATTCTGGCCTTCAAACGACCAATGAAACCGTCACCTGCTGCCCGAATGTTGCTCTGCGGTATTTTTGCCCATTCCCGGCGAAGCGCTTGCTTCAGATGATCGACACGGTCGGCCCAAACTTTTAATACCGTCCACCATTCGGAACAAATTTGGCAATTTGCAAAAAAATAAAATCCGCTGAAAATTCAATTAAAATTTTAAAAAATCTTATATTAGGGTCTATACGACAACGTGGACATAGGCAACTTTTCTTATAAGCCATTAAAATATTTACATGCGAAACTTGAAAAAAAAATCGGTAAAATCATCAAAATACCGAATATCGGGAGATACTATAAGTGAACATGCGCAGACAATTTTCTGCCACAAGCTGTAGTATCCATTACAAACTTCACATACCAAATTTGAAATAATTTCGAAGAATAAAGTCGCTAAAATAATCAAAATACCGAATATCGGGAGGTACAGTTATATGAGGACTATACGAAGACGTGGGCCTGCACGGACAATTTTCCTTCGTAGGCTGTAGTATTCATTACGAACTTCAAATACCAAATTTGATATATTTCCGGTGAATAATGTCGCTTAAATACCGAAAATAGGGAGGTACCATTATATGGGGGCTATACCAAAACGTGGACTGTTATAGCCCATTTGCAATACCAAAAGTCAGACATAATATATATTTGTATACAATTTTATCGACCTACGTTATTTCGTTCGGAAGCTAGAGTGATTTCCGCAGACGGACAAACATCGCTTAATCGACATAGAATTTTATGCTGATCAAGAATATATATACTTTGTGGGGTCTAACATGTATACTTCGAGGACAAATGACAAACTTAATATACCCTCCTTACTATGGTGGGGGTATAGAAATATGTATCGAAACCGATTTGTACCAAATTTCAAAATTCGGTTGAATGTGAAAATATATAACCAATTCTGCTGATATTACATATATGGTGAACAATAGCCGTGAAATCAGACATCCGAATCTAAACCGACCTTGCGAGATCCGAATCTGAACCGATCTTGATAAAAATTTGGTTGAGGTATTTCCGACCTGTATCTGATATCAGATACCAAGTAACATTGCTATAAAATGCATTTTGACAATGTGAGGGATGGATGAAACAGGTATATGAGGGCCACAGCTATATCTGAACCGATATTCAACAAATTTATTTTACTTGCTTATGGGCTGAATTCGGTCGCATGTACCAAAATTCACTCCAATTGGCCGAAAATTTCACTTTGGGAGCCAATTGGCAACCAAGTTCGTGCGATATAGATTATTATTTCTTTATATTATTATTATTCTTATTATTATTATTTTTTTTTTTTTTTGGATGCTATGTCCAAGCTCATGTCGACGAGTCTTGTATTGTCTAGTCTAGTATACAAGTTCCTTCACGTATGAGTGATGTCATATATTTCATATCACTCATACGCAGCGTTTTCATACAAACAACAGAAGTCCTGAAACTAGATAAGTTACTAGTTTCTTCTATCAAACGAGATAGCTTCAAATGACGTATTGGACGACAAGATTCAAACATTTATTCCTCAGATATTGGCCGAAATGTTGGAAAGAGAATGCCAAAATATGAATAAACGTATATTATGAGTTGTCAAAGAAAATAAATTTCTAATACCATTATATATCAAGAAAATAGTTGATTCCATTTTACAAAAAAAAAACATAATAAAAATAAAAAAGCAGATAAGTTCGGCCGAGCTGAACTTTTTATACTTTTTCACCACTCGGAAGGAACTTGAAAAACTTCAAAAAAAAAAAAAAAGAATCCGTCGAAAAATACCACTCAAATGAATATGGAAGTATATGGGGGTTATACGACGATGTGGTGCTGGATAAGTATTTTTTGTCATACGCGATAGTAATAATTCCGAAATTAAAATACGAAATTCTAAAAAAATCTGGTGAATAATGTCGCTAATATCAGTTATATGGGAGACATACGATATCGTGGACCGATATAGTCCATCTTCGAAATCGATATGCCTGCAGACAAAAGACAGACCGGTGCAACAGTTAAGCTTCCAATATTTATTCATTTTGACTCTAGTGGGATTATAACAGACGTACAGACGGGCGGACGTTCAGTGCTAAATCGTCTTAGAATTTTACGCAGATCAAAAATAAATATACTTTGTAGGGTCTATCATTAGTATTTCGAGGAGTTGCAAACGGAATGATAAAGTTAATATTCGCTCCATAGAATGGATTTTCAAAAGTGTGGAAGAGGGGGAACTTTCCCCCTCTATTTAAGTTACTTTACGATGCAAACTTTCAAAACATATCTTCTATTTTTTTAGGATTTCTTCTGTATTTTTTTTTTTTTTTGTGTCTTGCCTGTCTGTGTTATTGGCCGACCACCATAGCGTAGCGTATCGTATACGCAATAAAGGAAATGAAAAATAAAACAAACTAACATACTTATATGTGTGTATGTGTATTTGTGTGTATATTCGTACAAGGTTTGTTTACAATGGGCCGATCCAATACGCCATTTCTTCAATGGCATTGTTCTATAAATCATTAATCTAAACAAGTTGAAGGTGAAAGTTTCGATAAGGGAGGCGGGAAAATTGGAAGCGATTTGAAAAGGAAGGACAATTTTCGCAATAATTCAACTTGGACAAACGGAGTTTTTTTAACTAATTGGAATTTAAATGGTCACAATTAACGATATTTAACAGAAATATTTTTCAAAGCAATGTACTCTCTAATTTTCATCCTCAAACTTGAGGTGAGTTTTTGGCAACTATTTTAAAAGGCACATTGCATTTCTGAAGTTTTCTGAGGATGTGGGGATAATTTAATAATAATTTTAATTCGTTGAGGAGCAAATATCTACCTCTAGTTATTCCTATATGACGAAAATAAATTGTACCCATATTTTCAGAAAACTTCAAAACAATATTAGAAAATTTAATTCATGACGATAATGTCATATGTCAGAATTCTTCCTACTGGGTATGAACGAAAAACCACACTCATTCATGTGTATGTATTTTAAATTATAAATGTGGTCCAACACACAATGTTTTCTATATACAGTTAGCATCAAAAGGCAGGTTATACATATTAGCTGTGCAAGTGAACTAAATGTTTCCTCAAGGCAAAGATCTCCCACAGAGAGAGAGAGAGAGAGAGAGAGAGAGAGAGAGAGAGAGAGAGAGAGAGAAAGAGAAATATGTCTGATGAGCTGCTTAAATAAACACACGTCGAAGGAGAAATAAACACATGAAAATAATTTCCTTATACAAATTTTTATACCCTCCACCATTCTATGGAGGGTATATTAACTTTGTCATTCCGTTTGTAACTCCTCGAAATATTTATAATATACCCTACAATGTAATAGACCTTCTGGATCAATGTAAAATTCTAAGACGATCTTGCGATGTCCGTCTGTCTGTCAATCTGTCTGACTGTTCGTCTCTCTATCTGTTGTAATCACGCTATCTTTCGAACGAATTGAGATAGAAATCTAAAATTTTGCATACATGAATAGTTTACCAGTAGGCAGGTTAATTTCGTAAATATGCCATGTCGGTCCGCGTTTTCGTGTATCTCCCATATAACTGTACCTCCCGATATTCGGAATTTTCATGATTTTAGCTACATTGTTTACCGGAA